AGGTTAAGTGTGCTTGGCCTGAAGCGATGGGTGACCGATTGGTAAGTTCTTCTCGGGGGCGCATGAGTGAGGATAAAGTGATACAGAAAAGACTGGTGTTAATCTGTGAAGACAGTCTATGTCCTAGGAAAGCTATCCGATGTAAACGGATCTGGTCTTGAGGAGGAGGGACGTTACAGCCGACGCCTTGCAGCCCCACCACGAGGCACGGGACGCGAAACCTCTCAGGCATCCGCACCAGACAACCTCTCGGGCACCCGCAAGACGAGACACAGCCTCTCCGGGAGCATATGGCAGCCCCGCCGCTAGCAGTAAAATAAAACTTAATACGCTCGACAAATGCCTCATTGCCCTGGTCGATCTTGCGTACATCTAATCGATCTTGGCGCTTACTCAGGTGGATAAGGCGCCGCCGCGACAAAGGCCAGGCCACCCGCCGCGGACGTCGCCGTTGGAGGAGGCTGCCGTCGTGCTGGAAGCGGGCACTGGAATACTTCGGGGCCGGCCACTGGCGGAGCCAAGGGTACAAACTTTTTTATAATATATATAGAGTTTAATAGTCTATGTTTATGCTAAAAGAGTATAATAAATAACATCTTGTTATATATGTCTACTAATATATCCTCTGGACAACAAAATTGAATATAATACAATTACATAAATATTTTGATTTATCTAAATTTGTTTGTCTACCATGTTAGGACATATATATCTATTGAAATTTTTGGTTCTACTAGAATACTTATGTTGCATTATACTTTACTAGCAAATATGCTCGTGCGTTGCAACGGGAGAAAATCAAAATTTGTATCTTCACTTAGTTTCTAAAGATATGTAATTATGCATTTAATCCATCAACAATGAAGCAATAATTAAATTAGAACATTGACCTTCTATAAAAGTGCGATTTAGAATAATACCAACCAAATTAGCAAAATCCTTCCGTCGTGCAAAATAAGTATATATATATATATATGAACATATGAACATATTTAATTACCCATGAAAGAGCGGAAAAGTTAAGTGGAAAAAAGGAATCCCTGCATGCAGCCCGCCTTGCTCACTAGGGCGCTGTATCCTTCGCACATGTCTGGTATGTTACTGTAACGAGTTTGTGGAACAACTGTGATTTAGGTTTAGTAATAAGAACTGTCAATAGTTCGGAGATTGCCTTAATAAAATGTAGTCCACATACCGAAGGCGATTTTTTTTTACTTTAAGGGCATGTGCTCCCAGCACATCCACATTGGGTTCGCATAAAAATAGGTACACACACATTATAAGACATATTTGCATTGAGATGTGTGAATGGCTGAGTGCGTAGAGGCACGCGCCCCTAAGGGCACATTTTAACTTTCCCTCCCCATGCAGAACAGTCGTCTCAATCGTCTCTCAAAAATCATGAGCGTGTTCGCAATGTTATACCTCCTTTTCAGTATGACGGAGGCGGTCACAGCCGATCAACAATGCGCGTCGCATAATCTGCACCAGAGGTCTTACTAGTAGGTCCAGGTGGGGCATCCCATCCAAAACACGACTACTGGACACCTGCTCAGCTTAACTTCATTGTTGAGCATCAGCTTATTTCCTGTAAATTTTGACTTGGCACGGGTGTTCGTATTTTTCTGGATTTATTTCAGAATTTAACGGCGATATGCTTTCAATAGTAGACGATGTCCTCGTCGACAGCGAGACACCTATGGTAACTTCGTGAATCTCGTGATCTGACGGCTCAGTTCTTCGAAGGTGCTCATAGAGATAGGGTTTACATACGTGTGTTCATAGGGATGAATGTACGTGCGTGTTATGAACGTCCTTATTGTACTGTGCAATTTTAAAAAAAAATGCAAGAAGTCGAATCAGAGGCATATTGGATTTCCAGACCTCGCAATGAAGTAGTAATAAAGAGTTCTTTGTCTAGTTCGATCCTGTGGAATTGCTGTGCTTGCTGCTAGCGAGCTACATTATGCACACGAGCGAAATTTACAAGATCCCCCTGATGTCATTGAGTACTTCAAAAACTGTCGATCCGACACCCTGAAACAGAGTAGCCACTGGTACCAACGAAAAAATTGGGATTCTTTTTTTTTCCCATTTCTATAGGTAAAAAAAATGAATTTTGATATTTCTAAAACATACTTTTTCCGTTTAAAACTGTAAGCCGTTTTGGCTTTTCTAAATCATTAAGTTTTCCTGTAAGCCATTTTGGCTTTTCTAGACCCATAAGTTTATATATATATATATATATATATATATATATATATATATATATATATATATATATATACACTAAAATGCACACCGCATTCTCGTATTGCACTTGTGAAAGTGCGAAGACAGATGCATCCGACACGCGAAAGCATACATGTGGGGAATCTTTTGTTGATTCCAAATGAAAAAATACGCTTCTAAACCACATATCCGATTTTAGAGCTGTTTGAACTAGATTGTTGAAAAAATATGCTTAACAAAACGAGATCCATGAAGGTGTATTTGATGAAGTTTTTTTTTTCAAATACGTAATGCAATATATTGTACTATGAGTTGCAAGCACTTCTACAACACAATTGCAACTTGTGTAAGCTATTTAGCCCCATTTGATGCATTTTTCAAAACTAAATATGGAGACAACCAATTACGTGATGCTACCTAACAGCTCAACCCACCCACCAGAAAGCATGCATGTAGGGAATCTTTTGTTGATTCTAAATGAAAAAATACGATATCTTCTAAACCACATATTCGATTTTAGATCTGTTTGAACTAGGTTGTTGAAAAAAATATGCTTAACAAAATGAGATCCATGAAGGTTGTATTTGATGAAGTTTTTTTTTCAAATACGTAATTGCAATATGTTGTACTATGAGTTGCAAGCACTTCTACAACACAATTGCAACTTGGCTGTAGCGTATTTAGCACTGGTTGCAATGAAGGTTGTATTTGATGAAGTTTTTTCAAATACGTAATTGCAATATGTTGTACTATAAGTTGCAAGCACTTCTACTACACAATTGCAACTTGGTTTCGCTGAGATTTAGCAAAATAAATATAGCATTATATTGCAATGAAGGTTGTATTTGATGAAGTTTTTTTCAAATACATAATTGCAATATGTTGTACTATGAGTTGCAAGCAAATTCTATAACACAATTGCAACTTAGTCATATATATATGTAACGTATTTGCAGCAAATAGTTAAATTGCAATGAATGTTGTATTTGATGAAGTTTTTTTTGAAATTAAATAAATATAAAGATAGAAACATGTTGAATTGCAATATGTTGTAGTATGAGTTGCAAAGCACTTCTACAACACAATTGCAACTTGGTCAGCTAGCGTATTTAGCATCGCCAATTAATCCGTTGTAACCTAGTTGGTAGATGCAGATGCAACAAGGCGCCTAGCAAGCCACACACTAGTTGCAACTAGTTAGTACTAGTTCTGCAACAAGAACAATTACTACAAATTACTACTGGTTGCAACAAGTTACTACCCCGATTATAAAACCAATTACTACCGATTGCAAACTAGTTACTACTCAATTGCAACTCGAATTACAACTTAAGCGTGATTATAGTGACCAAAGATGCATATAATACACCGATTACGCTCTCTCGTTTGGAAAGCGTAAAGTTCAGTTTACGAGTTATATACTAGTTGCAATTAGGTGGTAGTACCACTGTTACTCAATTTTGAGTTGTAATTTCGGTAGTACATTAACATACAACTCGCTTAAAGGATAAAAACATATCCATATTGATCTAGTTTTGCTTAGAATATTTTTTTTTTTGAGTGAGAGGAAAACGTTGGAGACCAAGAACTCTTCGATGCAATAAACGGTTTGTCAATCCTATTCACCTTAATCAATTACTCATTTGTTACGATACCCGTTTAGAAGAAAATTTATTTCAAAGATTCAACCAACATGAATGATACTATGGAACACCAACAAAATATTTCATGCATGCATGTATTCGACCTTTGTTCATGCTCGGCCCTCCATAAGGACTTATCTGCTGCAAAAAGTTGGCTCTAAGCTGGTACACCTTTTCTAGCTTGCCTTTATGGTGCATTCTATATACAAGATATAGCCGCATGGATATGTATATTCCTATAGCAAAAACCTAGCGGCCCTAACTTGTTAGGGATATATATATATATATATATATATATATATATATATATATATAACTGTGTTTACTACTATCCTCAGAAAACTCACTATATAAATAAATGATCTTATTTTTTAGTAGCCACTTTGAGTTCTTATGGGATAATTACTATGTTAATTTAGAATAAAAGCTTGAGATTATAATAACTCCTTTTGAGCTTCATAACGTTATGGTAAATATCACTTGTTTATGTGTTATAGTAACCCAACTATCAACGGGTAATATATATTTGTGGATATTATTCGTAAATTAATATATAAAATTATTCAGAATAAACTAAGTTTTATTATAACTCGATGTATGAGAACCGTGATGATACTTTATTTTTGTAGCTAGGTGTGATTATTCCTATAATTCATTTTATCGGGATATATATATATAGTAGATAGATAGAGAGATGCATAGCAAAATATTATGCACCTATAGAAAAGCTAAAATGCCTTTACAATCTGAATTTTGATATTTTTGAAACATACTCCCTCCGTTCCTTCCAAATTAAGTCATTTTGACTTTTCTAGATTCATAAGTTTTAATATGTATCTGGACACAGCCGTTATAACAACAGGGTTCATACATTCAGAATCAAATATACAGCTAGAGACAGCTTGTTACTAAGTATTTCATCAGAGAAAAAAATATTATTTGTCCTAAGGCATATAATATAAGTTATCTTGCTTGAATTCAAAAAAAAAAGTTATCTTGCTTGCACGGTCAATGTCAACAGCCATCCAATCCAACCTTCCATCAACAACATCACCGAGATATCTCCAGCCACATGACGAACCCTGCTGACTCTGTTTTCCTCTGCCACGACCATGACACCAGAAGCTATCCCCAGCTTGGGTAAAGTGGCATGCGAGAAGAATGGGGTTGCTGCTGCATGCTCCGGCTGTTCGCGCTAATAAAGCCCTGCAGGAGGCTCTGCGCAGCTTTTGCTTGGTCCAGTGTGCCCTGGATCTCCACCACAGACTCGGAAGAACCAGCATGAGTCTCATGTAGCCTCAGTCTTGCACCAGAAATCTGGGGTCAAGTAGAACATTAATGAGAAAATCAATATTTATATATCATAAGAGGACGCATTTCATATAGCAGTGCCCATGGAAGAGAAAAGCTAATCATAACAGAGGATGCATTTCATATAGCAGTGCCCATGGAGTAAAAGGCATAATAACTTCCTTCTATACCTGACAGATCTCTGCTAGATTGACCCCGCCAACACCGACAATAGACTCCAAAGAAGTGTTTGGAATCCTCAGTTCAATAGTGCTCGAGAACCTTCTGCCAAAGGAAGGTATTTTCAATGAAATTTGTACAGGTAAAATTAAAATTATGTTTAGGAAGGAAGTAAGGCCTCCAAAGTCATACCCGGTAGCACTTGTCAGTCCTCTGTAATCCTCGCGTCCATGAATTTGTCCAGCAGCCTGTGCAATGATAAAGTTTAAATATATACAGAACTTGAGATTTTCTGATAGGCATAAACAAAATCAAGAAAAATCGGTTGAAAGTTGAAACCAAGAGTGGCAGACTACATCCCAGCAGCCAAATATATATTGAACCAAGTTGCAAGTGACAACAGATGAGAAGAGTTGCACCACTGTGACCACATTATAGGATAGGGTGAACATTGCTGCCACAGAAGTGACACCTAAGACAGCAACATATAATTTTTTTCCCAATATTCAGGAGTACTACCTAATTACGGAACAGAACAGGGACAATGGAACAGTCATGTGTAAAGTCTCAAGCTTCTAATGAAAATTCTAGGTGATGGCCATTTGCAAAAGAGGGAAGCTCGCGTCAAAGATGTACCTCGGTATAGTCATAAGCATCTGAATTTCCATCTCTTGTGATGCCTAATTGCTGTGTACCCCTACTAGAGTAGCTATCAGCAGGCACATGGTCACGATAGGAACGATGAGACGCACCAGGACTGAAAGCCGAGGGAAGTTCTCTAGTAGGAAAGCGTGTGTGTGCTGCATATCTCTCATAAGCAGCTGATGGGGCATTACTAGTAAACATAGGGCTTCCACTAGGATATTCTCTTTTAGAAAAGTAGTCTACAGGATATGCATCAGAAGGATCACGAGGTGCACTTTCGTTTGGCCTTCCATATGGTATAGTACTGGAAGGTCGTCCATATGGTGGATCGTTGGTAGGCCTTCCATATGGATCATTAGCAGGTCTTCCATATGGTGGATTGTTGGCAGGTCTTCCATATGGTGGATCGTTGGCAGGTCTTCCATATGGTGGATCGTTGGCAGGTCTTCCATATGGTGGATCGTTGGTAGGTCTTCCAAATGGTGGAACAACGGCAGGCCTTCCATATGGTCGATCGCTGGTAGGTCTTCCAAATGGTGGATCAATGGCAGGCCTTCCATACAGTGGATCATTGGCAGGCCTTCCATACGGTGGATCATTGGCAGACCCTCCATATAGTGTCGATTTTCTGCTAGGCATATCAACAGGAGGATCATCAAAAGGGGCAAAAGGTGGAGGATTATTGGCAGAACTTGTATCTCTCAAAGTCCTAGTTCTAAGCCTCGAAGCAATCTCTGTGAGGGCTCCTCTTGCAATAGCTGGAGGCCCAGCAACCTGAAAGCTTGGAACAAATGTACAGGTACAACGGAAGTTAACAAATTAAAGGTCCAGATAATAAAAACATACAGAAATATGTTAATGTAGCTGTTATCAAATATTAAGTCACCTGCACAAGTTCATCATCAAAAGACAAGTATTTTGGTTTATCTGCCTTCGAGTAAACTCGAATTTCAGCCCCAGTTCGTCTTCTCATTTCAGTAATCACCTTCCCACCTTCCCCAAGAATACAGCCAACTTTGCTTGATGGTACAACAAGCCTTGTACTTGAATGGTGCTTCTCAGAGGGTGCACTTACTTTATCATGGAGCAAAATGAGTGCCTCAATTACTGGGGATATTGGTTCAGCTGGTATCTGGATGAATAAAAAGGAGATAAAATTGTGAGTATTGGTACTAGAAAGTGATTGGCAACTCAAAACAAGCTGCATTGTTACCTCCTTAGATGAAACAATGATCAGCCTTTCTCCAGAAGCATCTTTGTCAATCTCTTGAACTTTGATGCGAGCACCAGTCTGCTGCTCTACTCGCCTAACATTAGCCCCACTTTTCCCAATAATTGAACCAATGAGCTCAGAAGCACACAGAATTCTGATAGAAAACTCTTCAGTTTCAGCAACATGATATTGCAGTCCACTTCTATATGGATCAAGCAGGGGTATTGGAGGTGGATGGTCACTATGCAGGTGCGGCAACATTGGATTTTCATGTTGTAGTGGTGTTGGAGACTCGCATTTCCTTTGTGTGCTTGCATCTATTATTTCTTCAAGAGGTCTATTTTCCTTACGAGGATGCTGATGGAGACGAGTAGATATTTCATATAGAGCTTTTCTTACAAGAGAAGGTGCTCCAGATATCTGAAATATCATAACAACAATATGATATATGATACCCATGTACTGATGTCCAAAAGTGAAACTACATGACAAAGACGCAAATTTCTAGATATGAGAACAGCATGACACAAAATTCCATCGTTTTGTTAATTTAATTAATTGATAGGGAAAATCAAGTTATCGAAACCATGAGAAACTAGACAGGTAGAAGTAGAACAATAATTGATATGTCCACAGCGAATTGTTTATTTCCAGAAAAAATAATACATGAACAATTGAATGCTAATCCAAGTATAAACAGTATATGAGGCCACAGGAACCAATGGAAGCAAAAGGCATTACCAAGCCGAATAAGACAATAAAGGAGTTTCTACTACTAATACAGCCTTACCTGCACCAGTTCATCACTTTTAAGTGCACACTGGGGAAGGTTTTCAGATGGCAAGACACGGATCCCAGCACCAGTATCACTTCGTAGTTGTTGTATAATGGAGCCACCTTTTCCTAGAAGGCAGCCAACTTGATTGCCTTGAACCAAAATTCGAGCAATCACATCATCAGCACTTTCAGACTTTTCATCATGGGCGACTCCATCATGAATTTCATCAGCCACAATCTTATCATGTATCTTCAATAAGGCATCTTGGGCAAAGCAATGGGGTTTCATGTTCCCTAAGCCATCACTAAATTTAGTTTCAGCTGCTTCATCAGTCAGTTCAGGTTGATTTTGGTAATTGAAGATGATAATTACTCTCTCCTCTGCACCAGGAATGGAATCGGCAACCCTTATCTTGGCTTTAGTTTCCTCTCTGAGGGCCTTAACAACGTCACCACCTCTTCCCAAGACACTGCCTATCTTTTTTACTGGGCACAATACCCTGTAGATGGTTTCAATTGGCTCTGAGGACATAGATGTGTCATCATGCCTAGAGTTTAGCCGTTTCCTCTTTCCGTCCTCAGAATTGGAATGGGTCCTCTTTTTGGAGTTACTTCTTCTAGACTTGCCATAATCCATCAAAATCAATCTTGCAGTTCCCCTTCATCCACATAAAGAATAATCCATCAGCGTAAACAAACTGATAAGATACTGATAACGAGGTCAGTATACAAAGATGAAAGGATGCTGCATTCACACATGCCTCTAGCAGCATCCCCAATGACGACACATACACAGCCTTGTAGGTTATGCGCGTATAGCTGCTGCTAAATGTTCATGTTGCTATTTTGTACTACAGAACACTAGCATAGGCAATTTTAAGTTCAACGACAGGTGTTGGCTGTTGACCATGTACAGATCAAGGCATCCTGGTGATCAAAGTCGCATGGATTCAGGATACAGTTACCCACTGTTTGCTTTTAAAATATGTAAGTACATTCAAGAAGAGCTCCATATTATTGATTTCCTTTAAAACAAAAATAATGCCCATGCATAACATGGTTCCTTTTCTAGAAGAATTACAGTGAATAACAATTTGTGCATGGAGTATGCAAAATCTGAAGTCTTCTGGCAACTGAAATCCAGCCTAAGAGAAAGTCAAAGTACAATTTTTTATGTTCAATTTTCCAGAATTGCTGATATAATGCCAGTATGTGCTGAAAGGGAACATCATATAAAGTACCATGCCTAATTTAAATAAATAATGAAAACATTGTAAAAAATAGACAGGGGACAAAGCAGGCTAAATGGTTTGACAAAAATTGCTAAATGAACGTCTTAGATGAAATGGAATAAAAACTCAACTGAGGCACATTATCACTAACATTTCATTATAAGCAAAAGGCTTCCTAGCATATGCAAGTATGCAACTCCATAAAATAACCTCTGAAATAGATTAGCTTGTGCCCATAAAAGATGAGCAATGACTTCACAAGCACACCTCATCAGCTACCAACTACGTGCAATGGCAAATTCTTAACTGCTCATCTACAATTCTACTAGCATGTATAAAAAAAAGTAATCAAACACTCACATAAGCATATTTCATAAGGGCAATCATTAAGGGCACTTCAGTAAGTGTATAAAATAACACAGCAACACAATTCTGCTGCAGCACATTTTAACTGCACAGATTCAGCAGACTCAATTTATGTTCAGCCAATAAAACATGAAAGATCCCAAATTGAGCATGCTGGACATGAACCTTCGGGCCAGGGCATTTGCACAGATGATTTGAGCTGCAGCCTGAAGCATAATTACACCCTATGGTCGTTTTTATTCATCATCTGGACCAGAGGAGCTAGTTCAATTACCGAAGATGATTCTTATCAGAATGACAAACCGGCTGTAGTACAAGGCAGGAATTCAACTCAACCCCTACTTTTCAAATAAACTCACTACAGTCTAAAAGATTCACTAGCCCCAAACTGGATGAGTTAAAGTACCTATACTGGGAAAAGAGGACATTTGTTTCTTTTTAGAGGACCGGCACAAAAGATGTGGATATAGTGGCAACTTGCATTGATTCTGTAACATAACCTCTACAATAACTTGGTTTCATATCAAAAAATGGTGAGTAATGACGTGGAAATCACACCTCATCAGGGCATTATCTATAAGGTAAAAAGAAAGAAACAAATTTCCAAATGCACATCCTGATCCTGTTGCAGCTCTAGCAAGGTTCCAAAAGGCGCTAGGCGGTTTTTACACACATACATATATTACCTTAAAGTACCTTATTAAGTAAAAGAAAAAATAGGAGACTTGTGGACCTAAAGTTGGAAGAAAGGCCCATCAAAAGAGCCCAGCCCACCTTATCCACCTACACTTTGTCCCTTCACCCAGCCGCACACCCAACCGCACACCTTATCCCTTCGCCTCCTCCCACCCAGCCACACACCCCATCTCTCTCTCTCTCTCTCTCTCTCCCGCATCTCTCTCCCTCTCTCAGTCAGCCCCCGCCCGCCGCCGGTTCCTCTCCCTCTCCCGCACCTCTCTCTGTCTGCACCCACCGCCACCGAACTCGCACGCGCCTGCCATTCCGCCCGACGCTGCTCCTCCCCCACCGGTGACCTCCGTCCGATGTCAGCGTCGCCTGCACGCTCCCTGCCTTGGGTGCAGCTGTGCGCATACCGCCGCCGCCGGCTGGCGCTGCCTAGGCTACTGCTTACCCCCCTAGGCAAGGCTGTACCCCTCCACCCAGTGCAGAGGTGCGCCTAGGCGAGCATGGAACAGCGCCTTTTTGAACACTGAGCTCTAGTAGCAAATTTTCGAAAATAGCAAGCACTCAAATAAAATACCACATAAGGCAAGTCATTTAGAGCACTTGAGCACGTGCACAAAAGATCTCAGTAATTCTGCCCATAAATAAAACACCACATAAGGCAAGTCATTTTGAGCACCTGAGCACGTCACTAACACAGGAAAGATACAGTTTGACTTCCCATTTTTCAGGTCACAATAGCATTCAAGATCAAATTTTTAACTGCCCATATTTCATCACCCACGTCATGCTCAATCAATAGCACAAGAAAGATGTCAAGCTGAGCACACTGCACGCGAACCCACTTGCAGGGGTATTTAGACGTGATTAGTATAAGTTCATGAGAATTCAACTGAACCACCAAACCTTTAGGAAACCGATCTCGCTACGGATAAAAAGAACACCCTACTCCGCTAAACTGATCGAAGAACATGGGTGTACAAATTGACACCCAATAAATTTAGCAGAAAACTAGGCATAGTACATGTATATACTTGTAATTAGAACAGATCCGGTTACAAACATCCAAATAGATTAAGTTAGGGTTCGGGTGCTCGGTTTCGCACAGCAGGAAGGGACGAGAAGGGGTGCGCATACCTGCTGGGTGCTCGTCGCCGGCGAAAGGGCCGACGAAGGGACCGACGAAGACCTAGGCTCCTAGCGTAGGCGGTGGTGGCGGCGGCGGTCGCCCAGTTGTCGCCACGAGAGAAAGCGCGCGCGGGCACACGGGGTGAACGGGAGAGCGAAAGGCAGAGGGGGTGAACGGGAGTGTCGGAGTCCGTGGCGGCTCCTGCTCGGTTAGGGGATGAGGGCATGAGTCCTGAGGGAATCGTGGTCCGCTGACCGACCCCAGATGGGATCTCGGACACCCCACCAAAGGCCCAGCACAAGGATCAGGCCTAGGAACACTGCAACAGCCGATCCTAAAAAAAAACTACAACAGCCATATCACGATGACGAGGAAAGAACTAGCCCGTTTTCTTTGTTTTTTTATATTTATTTTCTGTTTTTTTTTCAAGTAAAAGTTCAGCAGTTCGGGGTCGATTTATTTTATTTAATCGACATTTTAAATTAATATTTAAAAACGATTCTATAAAAATCAGATTTAACATTTTTTTCACGGCAAAATAATGTTATCCGCTATTCGCCTAAACGGTCTTTTATAGCCAGTTAAAACGCTAAATGGTGGCACAAGGTTTCTGTTTAGACGGCCGTGTCTACCGTCTAAATAGCCATTTTGTTCGTTATAGATCCGTTTACCCTGAATAATGGCTAAATGGCCATTGACCGACTGATCACCGTTCTTCATTTTCCCGTTTAGAATAACACTAGTAGTTGTCACGCGAGTTGCATTTCTCTCATTCAGATAACATGCTAGTAAACGGGTATAAATTTAATCATAGAATTATCTGAATGAGATATCTTAAAATTACATGCTATAAATTTTATCTTAAACACGTAAATATTTCATTTTACTATGTAAATTTGTCATTTAAGATAAGACTAGTGGGTTTTGAAACCACTAAATAACTTATAAGTATCGCAAAATTTACAGCACGTAGTCTTATGCATGTCAGTAAGATATAACATTTATATCACATAGAACAACATTTTGAGTTTCGTGGGATTTTAATTTTTTTAGTAATTTTATTTGATTGAATGAGAAGAAATGCAACGAAAGGGTCCGGTTGACACGGCAGTCGGTTGCTGTCATGGCACTCTGGTTGCACATGACAGATGTCTCATCAGCACACCAAAACGTTATTTTTATCGCGTCACGTGGACTAGCACGATTAAAAAAAGTTAGATCTAAAAACCTTTTAGGCAGGTTAATTTTAAAACATTGATTTTTAGAAAAAAAATCTTTAAGGTCATAGTTCAATATGTCTAGATGGGAAATCTTTCGACATAAATAATAAAGATATATGGAATATATTTTCAACTTTGTACTTTCATTTGCACTAATATTTAGCTTTTTCTAACACCTTCTCTCAACAAAAAGGATTAAGAAAAAGGTGTAAAATGTAGCTAAAGTGGTTATATTTTTTTGACACCTCTCAATGGAAAAGATTAAAGAGGCGTGAAAGTAGGGTTATATTTTCTTGTTGTTTCTTTAAAAAACAATTTTTGGTGGAAACTAGACACCTGGGATGAATTTCAAGATTTGACTTGATTACTTTTATTTTTTAGGTTTTATTTTGGGATTTTACAATGCTATTCTTTCAGTGTTAATCAATATTAATTCCGAAATTTGTCGGTTTAGTCTTTTCCAAAGTGCTCATAGAGTTTCAATGTTAGGTGACATGCGTTGATGATGAGATGAGTATGATGACTTCACTAGTCTTAGGGCTTGTTCGGCTGGTATTAAAGCCGGTGGTAAGCCGGCTGAAGCTGTTTTGTTGTAAGAGAAAAATACTGTAGATTTTAGCTGATAAGCCGGCTGATAAGTTCAAGTGAACACCGCCTTAATATTTGTCAGTTTAATCTTTTAGAAATACAGATTTATAGGGTGGAGTAGTGGAGTGTGTACATATATGAGCGACTATAGCTATAATTCACAAGATAATAAAAGCAAATAAATATGATATCTTCACAAGAAATAGAAGATATATTTTATATTACATGCATATAAAATAATAGTCGCCGTCTCAAAGTTCACTACAATCCTCTTAGAAAAATTCTTACTCCCTCCATTCTAGAAAAAAAACAATTCTCAATTTTTGAGGAATCAATTGACTTGAATTTGGGTCAAAATTATATAAAAAGTACTAATATTTATGTTACAAATAAGTATCATTAAAATAATATAGAATATGTTTTGAAGACATAAATCTTAATATTGTTTATTATAAATTTGGTTAAACTTAAGCTAGTTTAATCGACACTAACCCTATAATTTTTTTTGAGATGCATGGAGTACCTACACATTGTTTCATGTCTCCATGACTTTTCACTTTTATAAGGCTCTAGCATAAAAATATTAAGCAAAATTATTACTTACATACTGCTTCTTGGCTTTTCACTTTTATAATTATATAATATATTTTGAAGACATAAATGTTAATACTATTTAATATAAATTTGGTCAAACTTGAGCCAATCTAACTAGCACGAGTCCTCTAATTATTATATTTTTTGAGACTGACGGAGTACCTACATATGATTGTTTCATGTCTTCATGACTTTTCACTTTTAATAATAAGGTTCTAGCATAAAAATATTAAGAAACATTCTTACTTGCATATTGCTTCATGGCTTTTCATTTTAGGATAAAAAAACTGAAAAATGGCGTGTGAAACAAGAGGCCGCGAACGAAGACGGAAGCCAGGTATTACTTGATGTGCTTCCTTCCTCAACGTTCCTTTTCCCCTCACCTTCGTGGAGACTTTGGCATTTCACCCATCATCGAAAATTGGTTTTACACTTTTATCATCCCACAAAGTGGTTTCGCTCGTTTGTCATTATGAAACTGGTGTAACCCGTTGAAATACACTTCGAGTAGTTTTAATTCATAAAAAGGCACATCCTTCCGGTTCTACCCCTGCCTGCTTTCTCACCGCATGCCGTGTCCGGCCGCGTATGCTCGCAGCGCTGCTCCGCACACCGCCAACGAGACACAGCAGGGAGGAGGCCCGGACGAGCAGCATGAAAAGTAGGAGGTCGGTCTCGTGATGGGCGTATTGGGGGCCATGATGGGCGCCCGGGGCGGAGGGCACGACGCAGCGGGGGAGGTCAAGCAGCAGGCAGCGAGACCCACAGTGGCGCGTGTGTCGTGCGCCGGGGGCGGACTGTTCGAGGTGTCACGCGCCGGTGGCAGGAGAGCTTTTTGTCGAGAGCAGGAGGGTGGAACAATGAGCCTCAACGTGGCTCCTCCTCGCTCAGCCTCCGCCACCTCGTCGCTCATCGAAGCCGGAAGCTGCACTGTCGGCCCACACGGCACTAGTGGCGAGAGCGACCACCTCGGCGAGAGTTCACGGTGACCGGTGTCATGAAAGGTCCTAATATGGCTAGAGGGGGGTGAATAGCCTATTTAAAACTACTGAGATCAACTAGAGCAGTTTTTAGTAAGACAAATAGCAGAAATGCAAACTTGCTCTTAGCTCTAGGGTTGCAAGCCACCTATCCAACAATTCTAACGCAATGATCTATTTGCACACAATCTACTTGACCACTACTCACTAAGAGCTCTCACAAAGCTACACTAAAGAGCTCCACTAGATATTTTTAGCACATCGCAAGCTCTCAATTCTAATTACACTAAAGAGCTTGCTATATCTAGTTTATGGAAATGTAAATGAGTAAGTGAGACGATTATACCACCGGGTGGAGAAGAACCAATTACCGATGAATATATAGCCAATCACCGGAGAATGCAAATGACAAGAGACAACTAATTTTTCTCCGAGGTTCACGTGCTTGCCAACACACGCTAGTCCCCGCTTAGTCGACCAATACTTGGTGGTTCGGGCGGCTAAGAGGTGTTTCACAAACCTCGCCCACACGATAGGACACCGCAAGAACCGACCCACAAGTGAGGTAACTCAATGACACGAGCAATTTACTAGAGTTACCTTTTCGCACTCACGGGAAGGTACAACTCCCTCCTCACAATCACCGAAGGCGACCACGAACAATCACCAACTCGTGCGATCCTTCACATTTCTCCAACTGGCTTGGTGGCAACCACCAAGAGAAACAAGCGAAATCATGCACAGAACACGAATACCCAAGTGCCACTAGATGCAATCACTCAAGCAATGCACTTGGATTCTCTCCCAATCTCACAATGATGATAGATCAATGATGGAGATGAGTGGGAGGCTTTGGCTAAGCTCACAAGGTTGCTATGTCAATGAAAATGTGCAAGAGAGTTTCCTTGAGCGGGGCTATAAATAGAGCCCCATCAAATAGAGCCATTGTACCCTTTCACTGGCAAAACACGCCCGACCGGGGCGCTCGGGTCATACCGGCCGACGGCCCCTCGGCGTCCCGTCGCCGATAGACATCGCGTCCGACTGCTGAGCGATGTTCGTCGATTTCAAACGATGCTCAAGCGAAACGGTGGCCGGACGCTCCGGTCAAAAGCCGGACGAAGCCTGAAGCCCTCCTGTCGTCGTTCAATAAGCTCCTCGAGCGTATTTCTTCGACCGGACGCGTCGGTCCACCTTGACCGGACGCAAACCAGTCCGTGCTCAACTCTTCCTATCAGGTTGTCGATACAATTTCGCGCGCACCTTTTCAGCCGTCCGGTCATTGATGACTCCAATGTCCGGTCGATGAGACGGCGACGCCAACATCATTTCGACCAACTCCATTTCAACTCTAACTTCTTCACCCTTGGCGCTCCGGGCATGAAAATAGACATTTCATTTTTCCAAAAGCGCCGAATGTGCTATGGGACCCAAACCCATCTCAACCCCGCAAACACCTTGTGCACATGTGTTAGCATATTTTCACAAATATTTTCAAGGTGTTAGCACTCCACTAGATCCTAAATGCATATGCAATGAGTTAGAGCATCTAGTGGCACTTTGATAACCGTGCATTTCGATCTGAGTTACCTCCTCTTAATAGTCGGCTATCTATCCTAAATGTGATCACACTCACTAAGTGTCTTGATCACTAAAACAAAATGGCTCATATATTTTATACCTTTGCCTTGAGCCTTTTGTTTTTCTCTTCTTTCTTTTTTCAAGTTCAAGCATTTGATCATCACCATGCTATCACCATTGTCATGATCTTCGCCATTGCTTCATCAAGTATGTATATCTCAAAACATCTTGATAAACTAGGTTAGCACTTAGGGTTTCATTAATTAACCAAAACAAAACTAAGCTTTCGGTCAATCCGAGGTGGGCGCCATTTGGCGCATCGGGCATTGGCGTCGGTTCAACTACCTCGCGCCTTGGAGCCCCTCGTGGAACCGTGTAGCCGTTTTTCCGGTCTTGAAGGTGAAATGCCACATGCTCATTTTGACCATGAACGGGGAACGGTGATCGTCGCCCATTAAAACTATCCAATAATTTCAGCGGGCGAAGTTTTATAATGCCAAACTAAGCGGCTGCAAGTGCGAAACCAGGAGTGAAATCCACATGCTCACCCTCGTCCCACTCCAACTAACAATTGGGCGAAGTTTTAGCGCCAGCTAAGCGGCTGCGGTTCGGAGAATCCTGAGAGCACCCTGGAAATCCAAAACCCTCTCGCCCCGCAGCGGGAGCCCAAGCTTTGGATGACGGCGGCCGTTGCAGTTGCAGATGGCCACCACGCGCGCGTACAAGCTTCGTATCCCGTGAATTACCGGTTTGGGGATTTTGAATTGGAACTTGAAATCGGATTGCTCTTGCTTGCTTTGTTTGAGCTGGTGCAGTTAAGTTGGGTTGGGTTGGGGTTGGATTCACCCGCGATGATCGAATTCGATTCCAGGTTCTGATATACTGTTCATGTTGGCTTCATCCTTGCCATCTGGTCTTGTGAGCCTGTGATTGAGTGGAGTGCAGTGCAGGAATTGCGTTCCCACCAAGGAACGTATTCAGGACCATCCGAGTCGTCTTGCTACTTGTGTAGGTGGGGATATAATGAAATTTTAGTGCCGCAAAGTTTCAGACCTGGAATATTATAGCTTCCTGCCTGAAATCAAACTAAATTTGGTGGTCTGGATTAACTCAAGACAGGAGAATAGTTCTATTGTTTGCCAGGAATCGTGACTTCCGTGCTATGTAGCTTATCATTTGTTTGGTAGGTTGTATCAATTGCTGTTAATAGGGCCACACTGTAGTTGGGGAGATCTATACAAGATGCTCAATCCTCAATATCATACGTGTTAATTCCTTTGACCGAGAACTTTAACTTCACCCTAAGTAGTTTGTTTCATCGGGAATGTAGTTGCTACCATATGGATAGTGCAGCTGCTGGTATGAACTTAGTGCTATGCCAAAAATTGGTATCATTTCGATAATTGCAATGATAAACATGCATGCTGATGATATGAACACTTAAGTATTCTACTCTGGATTTTCAGTCAATATTTTTTCCTTGTGGAAGTTTGTGTTTAGTTCCTTCTGAAAAAATGAATTATGAAATAAACTTTAAACATGCTGGGATAGGTTCGTGGTAGTCGAAAACATTCTGTTATAGCTTTGGATATCATGCTGGGATAAAACTTTAATTCTCTTGTTGTAGTATGCAACCTTCAATATGTCTTGTTTCCTTGACACTGATCAGAGGAGTTTGTCGCGCATGCTTCGAATGTCAATTGTGCCAAGTTTGGGAGGCGAACATCAAGGATCCTCATCACTGGTGGTGAGGATCTGAAGGTCAATCTTTGGGCTGTAGGGAAACCCAGTGCCCTCCTGGTAATTTCCTGTAGGGTATCCCGCTGGTTTACGTGTAATGTCATTCTTGCTTTTTTTTGGCAATCAGTTATCTACTTCAAGTGATTTTCATTGTACATTGCAGAGCCTATCAGGCTTTACAAGTCCAGTTGAGTCAGTAAGCTTTGACTCTTCTGAAGTTACTATAGGCGCTGGTGCAGCAAGTGGAACGATAAAAATATGGAATATTGAGGAGGCGAAAGGTATTAACCAGTGTTGACACTCAACAGTGCATTGAAAACATGAACTGCAACTGTGTCATGCAATAATCTCAGTTTCTATTGACGATTTGCACAATGTGCAGTTGTTCGAACTTTCACTGGGCACAGATCAAATTGTGCATCTCTTGATTTCCATCCTTTTGGAGAATTCTTAGCCTCTGGATCTTCAGACACAAACATGAAAATATGGGATACTCGAAAGAAGAGATGCCCGACGAATTAATGTGCTTAAATTTACTCCTGATGGTCGATGGATTGTTTCTGGTTGGGCTGATAACTCAGTGAAGGTAAAATTTTGAGCATGTCCGTTAATTATAATGCAAAATATTCGAAGATCATAGCACCCAAAATTTAAGGTGTCTTACAAATTACAACATGGCTGTTGTCAACGAGATGGACAATCTTGTACTATCACTAATTAAAACTTTACCTCATATTTCCTGATCACTGAAATTTTGTTTAAAATATCTTGCTAGGTCTGGGATTTGACGGCTGGAAAACTCATGCATGACTTTCGTCTTCATGAAGGTCCAGTCAACTGTTTAGATGCTCACCCCCATGAGTTTTTATTGGCTACAGGTTAGATTACAGGTCCTATATACTCACACAGTAATGAATTTTTCCTGGGATGTTAAATTTTCTAAAATAATTTTTCTTTTATTTTTATTGCGGACTTATTAGTCCCTCTCCCTCATGCTTCTTATTTGTACATCACCTGGAGATCTAAGTAACATATTCCATGCTGTCCTTTTCAAAAACCTTTGCAGGTTCAGTTGATAAGACTCTTAAATTTTGGGACCTTGAGACTTTTGAGTTGATTGGTTCTTCTGGATCTGAGGTACCATATCTATTTATAACGACTCACAAAATGAATCATTCATGCCCCAAGTTGAAACTATTCTATGTTCAAAATCTGAATCAATATAGCTCTTGAACCCAAGGTTATATAGTGATCTGGAAAAAAGCTATTTTTTGAGAAGGCTACAATTTTAAAAAGTTGTATCTAAGCATTATATGATTTGATCATATGCTTGAATTAAATGAAATGTATTCGAACTAAGATCCACCATTATGAGTATTTTTTTTAAAATGATTTTTCCAACCTTAGTCTGTTTGCCACTCTGCCCAAGTATGATCCGTCGCAAGGATTCAAGGAACACATAAAGGCAGCATGAAGTAGCAGTTTTTATTTATCTATGTGAACATGAAATAGTACCAATGACCAAACGAATTTTACCAATATAATGCAGCATCTCAGACCAAAGATTGCACCATATGAAAAACTTTCTTAGTGAAATACTGAAATAGCTATTATTGAGCATGTGTAACATAATACTTTGTTTGTGAAACAACTTGTCAAGTTTGAGGTTTTGTAAAATAGGTATACTGGTAGGCAGTTTTTTGACTCTTCTGTAGACTGTTGGCACTCTAAAAATAGGTATATTGGTATGCACTTTTTTTTACTCTTCTTTAGATTGTTGCAAACCAGATAGTGGCACATATATCTGCTGTATTTCAATTTGATGAAGAAGAATCTAATGTTACTGTCCATTCTCTAACATGTTTTTCTTTTTCTTGGATATAATTAAGCTTTTCTTGCTTAATGCAGAACAGCCGGGAATACTTTGAGCTGGTATGCTTTCTGATCACCAATTTCTTCACATCATCGTATGCCTGGAATTTCTGTGTGGAAATGGATGACAGGCTTGCTGTAAATAAAGCACATGATCTGTAATCAGATAACCAATTGCTTAATGGTAACTGTCCTCAATTTTCAGGCTAGTGTAATTCGTTCTATGAAATTCAATAGTGATGGTAAAACAATTTTTTGTGGATTACATGAAAGCTTAAAGGTACATATCCAACTGATTATTTCATTCTCCAGGAAATAATAGTGGAACAAAGGTCATTATCTTTTTGCTTGTAGGTTCTTTCCTGGGAACCCATCATATGTCATGATGTGGTTGATGTAGGCTGGTCCACATTAGCAGATCTAACTGTAGACGAAGGGAAACTTCTTGGTTGCTCATATAACCAAAATTGTGTCAGTGTGTGGGTTGTGGATTTGATGGTATGACGTGTTATGCATAATTTACTATGTTATCAATTGAGTTGTTTCTTTATGACATGTTACATACATAATTTTTCAGAGAAATGAGCCTTATGTTGATAGTAGTGCTGGACCACGCTTAAATGGAAGTGTAAATAGGCTAATTGAATCAGATGATAGCATGTCATCAGTGTTTGGAACGCTATCAAGTTCCAGAAGCCCAGGTACTGAAAGCAGCAAACACTTTTCTTATGAGATCTCTTCGTTATCTCTGCACTCTAAAACCAGATATGTTTTTGTACTTTTTGAAACAGCCAATGAAATTGGATCGGATACTCTGCTTGGACGCTCAATGTCTGCTTCAAAAGAAATTCCTGTCTCAACTTCTGCATCAACGAAGGGATTGTCAAAGCCACCTGGAAAAAGGGATCTCCAGCTCACAAGATGTGTTTCTACACCTCTTCTTTCTCCTAGAGTTAGATTGAACCCAAATTTCATTGACAGACGGAAGAATCAGCCAGCTGCTGCTGTACCATTACCAGAACCAATAGTCCGCTTTAACGTGAATCTCTCTTCAGATGCTGGAATGTTGTCTCACAGTTCACATGCATCAGCAGCTCCCACGTATAGGTCCTAATAGTTCTCGATATGGTATTATGGAATCTTCTTCTGTACCTGTTCTGGCCCTGAGGCGTAGCTCTAGAAAGGATGCTGGTCCCGTTCTCAGTGAAGCAGCCACAGTTGAGTTAGCAGATATGGAGCTTGTTGATAGAATATCGTCGGCAGTCCTCCGAGGGGTATCTCACGAAAGTAGATTGATCGGCAGAGGAGCGTGAAATCAAGAACAAGAAGGCAACAGAGACACACGAGTTAGACAGGTTCAGGCCGTCAGTATGACGTAATACCCTACTCCTGTGGTCTGTTGGTTTGTATTAGCTATCGTATGATATCGCGTGCGTTTAGAGGGGATCCCTGTCCGTCTTATATAGTCCGGGGAGCAGGGTTACAAGTCGGTTAGATCTGAGATATAACTGGAAAGTAATAACTGATTACAGGAATCTTGGGATAATACATATCCTAACAGATCTCGTAGTATCTTCAGGATATATTCCAGATGTCTTGCGGGAGGCACCGAGCAGAGTCGTGCCCCGCAAGGCTTCGTCTTGTGGGCTGGGCTGTCCCTGGGAGCGCAGCCCATGTGGTCTGCCGTGGGTATCCGGGGTCGTACCCCCCACAGCTAGTCCCCGAGCACCTTGTACCCGTTGTGCAACGCCATCTTGCGCTTGTCCGAGCAGGTGCGAACAAAGCCGAGCAGTCAAACTCATGGTCCGACCACCGTGATGAGTTGCGAGCAGTTGCCGAGCAGCGCGAACCATCGCCGAGCTGCGAGGATCATAGCCGAGCAATATGATCCAAATATGGCTTGCCATAAAGGTGTAAGGAGCTCAAGTTTAGAATCGAAAATTTCTTCGCAGTGGACCAAGTGTGCCCACTTAGAGTCCGACCACGAGAGTAGGAGGTAATCTTCTTCAGCCTTAAGGGGCGCGGAGTCTTCCAGAATAAAGCAAGCACATTCATCGCTAGGTGAAATGTGCCCACTTAGTCCCCGAGCCTGACAGTAGATGACGTAGTCATGTGGTGGCAGGGTCCAAAGCAGAAGAAAAATAAAAAACCAGCCGAGCAGGCAGCCAGTCCCCGAACGTAGCCCCGAAGAGCACATTCACCGCTAGGTGAAGTGTGCCCACTTAGTCTCCGAGCCTGACAGTAGATGACGGAGTCATGTGGTGCCAGGGTCAGAAACAACAGTCAACTTGGAGAAAACAGAATCACGGAGAAAAAACCGGAGTAACGGCTATACAGTAGCAATTACTGAGCTGTAACGATCGGCGGAGATTTAGGCGAGCATTGGGCGAGTAGCAACAAATTACGGAGATAAATCAGCAATGTGGGCTGAGACTGCGTGAAGGCCCAGGTAACGGCCCATCAAGCCGCGTCGGAGAATCCGGAGAGGCGCAGATCGCGGGAACGGTTTCCAAAAAACCCTTGAATGCGAAAGGGTGGGGAAAGTGCTTTATAACTGTGCCGCCGCATCCCGCGTTCATACCTTCGCCACTTAGCCATTCTGTCTTCATCCTCAGCCCTCACATTTTCAGATTCACATCCATGCATGCTCCCGATGCCAGTCCCCATCCAGATCTGAGAGATGGCGCCGAAGAGGAGAGCTGTGAACCCGAAGAAAGCGAGCCCAAAGAAGGCAGGAGCGGGAGCCAGTCGAGACGAAGAGTGGGTGCCGTTGTGCACGGGGGAAACAGAGCTCGAGAGTTTGGTGGAGGCAGGCGTGCTTCCTGACCGCGTCACCGCCAGATGGCGGCCAACCAGTGGTGAGCCCTTCCCAATGCCTAGCACTGACGAAGCTGTAGTCTTCGAGGATTATTTCTGGCGTGGGTTGGGGTTCCCTGTTCATCCTTTCTTACGGGATCTGCTGGAGTTCTGGGCGATTAGTCTGTGCAACCTCCACCCAACACCATATTACACATCTCGATCTTTATTCATTTCTGTGAGACGTTTCTGGGGGTTCTGCCACACTTCAACCTCTTTAGACACCTGTTTTGGTTGAAGAAGAAGGGCGGTGGTGGCTCCAAGGTGGTCGGCGGCGTATATCTGCAGCTTTGGAATGGAATGGCCAGCGAGTACATTAATGTACCGCTGAACACTTCTCTGAAATGGTGGAACTCCAAGTGGTTCTACATGAAATAGAGTCACCCTGCAATCCGCTGCGACGTCCACCATATCCCGGAGAACCAGAAGAACTGGTCGGAGAAACCAAACAGTGCTGACATGGAACAAGTGAGGGAGCTCCTCGACCTGATTAAAGGCGTGGAGATTAGCGGCGAACTAGTGGCGGCCAGCTTCATAGTGTGCCGCGTCCAGCCCTGCAAGTAGAGGGCCCACCCGGGCTTTGACTACAAAGGTGATGACAACAGGACCCGGGAGAGGACGGAGTGGCTGACGAAGAAAAATGTCCTAGAGCGGGCCGCAGAGCTATTCGCTCCCAATGCTTCATTCAGCTGGCCAAGGAAAACGAGGGCCTTCAATTGCACAAATCCGCCTCCTCAGGTAACCATCTCGATTGTTTTTTCTGAGATTTTTAATCCTGAAGCATTGTTGAGCAGTGAACTGATTCACTTATGCAAAGATCCATTCGCAGGAAAGAGCAGTGTACTTCTCCGGCGTGCCGTGGGGGTAGACACCCGGCCACCGGCTCGGTCGGAGGAAGATGCGACCAGCGCCTCGTCAGAGTCCGGAGGCATCGACGCTGGTCGGACGGAGAGTTCACCCCCGGTATCGGAGAAAGTCTGGGGGAAGAGGGAAGCGGCAGACGAGCTGGTCTGGAAGAGAAGAAAAACGGCAGCCGCCCCCCTTCAAACCGGGCGGCATCTCGCTTGGTGGCAACCAGATCACTCGGACGCGAAGGACCGCGGTGGTCGAGTGGTTGGATGACGATGAAATTCCGGTGGCTCCTCCACCGAGTACTGAAGCACCTTCGCAGCACGTGCGTGGAGGAACAAGTGAAGAGAAGCGAAGAAGTCCCCGAGCAATGGGCTAGGGGAATCCCCGCGCAGCAGGCGACGGGAGTCCCCGAGCAGCAGATGACAGGAATCCCCGAGCAGCTGGCGGAGGGAGTCCCCGAGCAGTAGACAGAGAGGATCCCAGAGCGGCAGGTAGAACAAAGGTCGGCTGTGGAGGAGAGGGGAGCTCCCCCCCAGAGCACGGGAGTCGACCCCACAGCTGCACCTGGGGGCTCGGGGAGGCACCGCCGGTTCAAGAAATTGAACCGGCAGACCAAACCGTAAGTATCCTTGTATTAGAGTTACTTTGCTGCAGTTTCTTAACTTTCCTGGTGACTGACGAGCCAATCTGATGTAGTGCAAAGCATACGGAGGGTCTGACCCCGCCGGTCCGGACTGTCGATCAGCCGAGGGCTGAACACTGGGTGGGGGCAATGCCGGCGGCTCCCATCCCAGAGTCCCCGAGTGCTCGGCAGTCGGAGGAGGAGTCGACCGCCATCGCTGGCAGACTTGGCGGCAGCGAACAATTGGCGCCAGCAGCAGACGAGTCGGCGACGACGCCCAAGGCAACGGCGGGAACCGTCGGGTCTTTGGGAGCAGAAGCCTGAGTTGCTGGCGATGCGCCGGAGTTCAGGGCGGTGAAGCCGGTGGTGGCCGAGGAGCAAACGGCGCCGCCTGAGGCGTCGCCGGGGATGGTCGGACCCGCTGTCCGACCACGGAGCCCCCCGATGGTGCCTCAAGCCACGGCGGAAGAGGACGAGGTGGAGGAGATCGAGCGTGCCGAACCTCGACTCCAATCCGTCCGAATTCTCCGCAAACGTGGGGACGAGGTGGTGGTTGTCGAGGAGGAAGACACCCCCAGGGAGATGAAGAGATTGAAATCCGCCGTTGTCGTAGTAATGAAACAAATCGAGGTTAGAACTGCATCTGGAATGCTTGTATATGATGTTGGAGATCTAAGTTCATCATTAGCATTGTACATTTGTAGGGGATAACTCGGACTGCCGAGCAACGGCACCAACTGATAAAGAGGATGGAGCCTCTCGCCAAGGAGAATGAGAAACTCAGGGAGGCGATGAACCTTTTGGAGAGAAACATCCAGAGGGCTCGGCGCGAGCGAGACCTTGCAGAGTCCAACGCGCGGGACCTAGAATATCAGAGGGGGGGTCTGTCCGAGCAACTGGCGGCTACGTCCGAGCAGCTGTAGAGCAAGTCCGAGCAGCTAGCCACTGTCTCCGAACAAGTGAAGGGTGTCTCCGAGCAGTTGGACCAGAAATCCGAACAGCTCAGAAGTGTATCCGAGCAGAAAGCAGGTACGATATATAGGCTAATGCACTTTTTATTGCTGAACAGCCATATTTCCCATGATGGCTGTTGTGTTTGTAGAGCAAGACACGGAGCTCGGACAATTGCGCCAGGCCCTCGAACAACTCCAAGAGGAGAAGGCGAAGGAGACAGGGCGAGCAGACAAACTGGCCGAGGAGCTGAACGGTGAGTACTCCCTGGTCGGAGTTACTGCTGAAGTAACTTCCTTGCTTGATGAAACTTTGTAATGCTTGCAGACTACCGTGAGAGGGTCAAGGCACAGTTCGATGTGCTGGAGCAGGACGCCCGGACCCAGAGGGACAAATTTGACGTTGTAGTTGCCGAAATCAAACCAGTGCTCGACTGCGTCGACCCAGAGGGGGCTCCTCAACCTGACGGCAGACCGCCACGCCCTGACATCGTCATCGAAAGGTGCAAGACGGCGTGGGAGAGCTTCAACCGCGACACCGTTTTGACCGCCGCTATTCATGCCCTTGCGGTGGTTCGGTCCCACTACCCAACCGTCGACCTTCAGTCGATAGGGGGCGGGTTCGCCGAAGGGCTGAGCGAGGCGGAGACCCAGCAACTGGAAGATGAGGTGGAGAGCGTAGCGAAGATGTTGGCCGACGATATAGACCTATTCGGCGAGACGGACGGTGATGGCGGAGCACAGTGATCTGCTCGGAGGGTATTATCTAAAATATCTTTCAAATGTAGTTACAACACACGAGCGCGAAAAAACATTTATGCATTTGTATAAATG